TTCTCTATTTATTAAAATTCTACCTGAATAAACGAATTGCCACCAGTTACTACAACACTTCCATATAGTGCTGGTCGTACATCAACGTCGCACATGCCAACACTAGTTGTGACAATATGCCCTACTCCCAACATAGTATTACCGACCATACCTCCACGCATTTGTACTATACTAGGATCAAATAATGCCTCTGGTATTCGAAATCTCTCACTTCCAAAATCCTTAAAATAATTATTTTTTATTATCTTATTTTAAAGTTTGTGTGTGTACAAAGTTATAGACATTACATAAAATATATACCTGATGATAACCAGTCGGGAATTCATACTGAACTGCAGGAATCGTAGAAACAATCTTCTCATCATATGGTGTTTCTGATACCTGAAGAACTGTGGCTTGGAAATCCTGAACCACCTTCTTTACCATATAATTATGCCAAGACTTGGTAACTTCAGGCAAACCTTTCTTTTTAATCCATCGTGGTTTATCATGATCTTTAACTACTTCTTTACTACCCACCATATAAGGAGGAGACAAGTCGATATCGTTATCCTATTCATTTCAAAAAAAATACACAAGACTAACAGATTTGGAAGACGTATTAATAAACATAAGTAATATCTGCATACTTGTAAAAACTGTCTGCACTGCATACTTATATAGTCTCCACCAAGGGGTGATTTACCAATGGCTTGTGTCAACACAAATCCATCTTGTACAGGTACCGCAGATGTATGTGTGGCACCACTATCGACGACAATACCAGTTGCTCTACCATTGGCAAACGCAGCCAAAACTGCATTTTTTACGAGAAAATAAGCTGGTACATTATATTTTTCAAACATTAGCTCGGTTAATTTTTCCCTTTTGCTACGCACATTCCATGGCGATTCAGAAAATAATACAGGATGATATTCGGCATCGGACTGAATTATTTTTGAATATGTGTAATCTAAAACCTAACAAATGTATGATCAAGGTTTCAATAAATAAAAATATACAGATATCATAAATCTTAAAAATCACATAAAATACTATTCATTTACCTTTTCAAAATGATCCCAATCTTCAATCATACCATCTTTCATATAACTTGCAATCTCTGTATTCTTCCTTGGAACATGAAGAATGGTGGTATCAATATAATATTTGGTCCCATTTTGCGTAATATTATTGTCAGGCTTTTTATCATCGATATCCATAGGTTCAACCTTAGTGGCTGTGCCATTGGAGTCTTCTCCTATTCCAACAACAGCTGGAATTTCTGCCTTTGGAGTATCTTCCTGAGCATAGCCCACTCTCAAGGAATGATGACCCAAGTCAAAAACCAATGCTCCTATTTCATCTCCACCATACAACATACCGCCTGACATCTTGGAAAATCAGTGAGTTCCTTCAAAAATAATATTTGTGACATAAGAAACATATTATATATAATATTTTAATTGTTGATAATGGATACTTTCCAGCAAGGACGCAGTCTCAGACAGTGTGACATAATGAATCATTACATTCTTATTTGCCTATATTAAATAAGGATGAAACGATTCACTGTGTTACACAGTGTCTGACTGTGTTCTTACTGGAAACCCAATATTTTCTTGAATTCTTGATGGCAGTAATAGTAGTATGCAAATGTTACACAGCAATGTGTATTGACAATACATGCAACAATTATGTCTTGAACATAATTTTTGTATCCACAAACACTTACCTAATCGTTTTAGTTCTCTTACAAAAAGAACTCAATGAAATGGCAAGACTATTTTGCCCATGTGACAACTATACATGAACATTTATTTTTGTGACCTTGCGGTTTACGTATAATCATAACCTCAATTTAGAAGACGCTTCCAAAACCGCCGTCCAGACACGAACTATAGACGTAATATAAATAGATTTAACATGATTTCACAGCAGTCGACAGGAGTCGATGTTGAGTATATTGATAGTAAATTCAATATGGCAGCTACTAAGAATTCCTCCAGCCAATCAGAGAAATACATCGATTATGAGAACTTTGCGAATATCTAGCCTATTCTATAATAGTCGTAAACGTAGTTGTAAGTAGTTGTAAGAATTGATCACAGTCAAATATTCTCCTCATATTCGACTTGATTGCTCAATTCTTACAACTACAACCGCTTATAATAACGCTTACGACTATTCTAGAATAAGCTTTAAGCCCATTCTACAATGCAGTAAGACTGTCGTAAGAGAGAGTAAAGCCCATTCTATAATGGACAGTAAGGGATTAAAGAATAGGCATAAAAATCGACCAATCATAGTTGATTATTTTTCTTACATTCAACTATGATTGGTCGATTTCTACGCCTACTCTTTAATCCATTACTGCTATTGTCCATTGTAGACCATGCATTACATTATAGTTAATAGTTTATATACTACCAACGAAGCTAGCATTAGCGGTCCATGATTATTTAATTTACGGAATAATAAGGAGATCAAACTCGAGGTTTGAAAGTGAGCTCGAAACATGGTGTAGAAAAACTCATGGAAAATCCAACAGATGCGCATCATATACATATATTATATATGTAATTTTTCTTATTTGTAATTTATATTTGAGAAAGAATTAATGTTGTTTAAGGCTACATTCCAAAATATTCTTTAAAAAATTTTACTCGAAATATATTAGTATACATTATTACACGTAATGTACATTTTATGTCGTTTTTTATATCTTTCAATAAGCTCGCGCAAAATGAAGTAAACCGCAGAAAGAATCGTGAAAAAAAAACAAATCATACATAAGTCATACATATATATGAATGTATATTAAATATCTTAAAACTGCCTACATTTTTTTAGAGCTGTAATGCTATTGGCTGAAATAAATGTTTCTTTACATTTTGATCTGTCCGTACATTATCAATAAATATCGTTAAAGCTATATCGATGAATGTCGCTTATAACAATCAATATCGGTATGTGTAATTCTAGAATAGCCATGATCTTTGATTCATCTTGGTCGCGCAAGCAACAAATGTCGCTAGTTAGCGACACAGACAAATATCGTTAAAAATTATGGAATCGCGCCCCTAGTTCATATCATTTATATATAACAAAATTATGAAGTTTAATATAACCATCTCAAAAATCATTAAAATTAGGCATATTCAACGCGTTTTTGCATAAAATGAAAGAATCTGATAAAAAAAGCCCTATTGAGTAAGGGATTGCTCTGCGAAACGAGATATTGAGCGTTAAAGTTGACTAAAGTGTTATTACGTAACACGATTATTAATCTGTCATGTAGACAGTGGAGTATGGATTAGTGTTTATTGGTTCAGGGCAGTGTCTACCGAGGGTTTAATCCTGTTATAGTCGACAGGGGAATGCTCGACTGTAGTTGGTTGGTTTTTACATTCTGATCCGGATTAAATCCTCGGTGGAAATTAGGCCACTGTCTACATTGCTACAACTTCTAGGCGGTTAGGCCCCAAGCGAGTAGGATATATTATTTTTTGTTTGGGGACTTAATCACCCCGATAAGCACTCATAGTCTATACACTCTACTATCTACTATCTACAGATTTTCTAATCTCAACAACAACAGTACAATTATAGAAGTCGTGCGCTTCTCTGCAGAGGAAAGAAGGGAGGAGTCGTTTCATGTAGAAAATCGAAATCTAATAAAACAATACAAACTTCATTTTGCCTCTGTGACAGATTTCTTAACTTCAATAGTTGTCAACTTTAACACTTAATATCTCGGTTTGTGAGGCAGAGCGATACTTTTTCTGCCAGATTTTTTCATTTCATGCAAAAACACGTCGAATAAGTCTAATTTTAATTTATTAGTTTAATTTATTAACTTTTCAGATGGTTGTGTTGTAAACTGTAATTTTATTATCTTCAAGAAGTATAAAAATGACGTCGTTTTTAAGACTTGAAATTCACCAATCATCTATTTTTGCAGCCATTTTTAGTACACAAAAATAAGATCATCATTTGCTGCTAATCACGTGATTGCAATGACCAATCAGAACATTTAACAAATCACGCACATTTTTTATAAATCTAAGATAAATGCTGGAGTCCCATGAGACATATTTATCACATATTGCGTAACTGCATAAAAAAATCCAATAAAATACGAAATCAAAGGAACGGATCGCTTCTGATTGGTTACGCGATTACGCAATACTTGCAAAATACACCGTCTGAGACTCCAGCATAAGGGAGCGTTTATATTAGCCGTAACCGTATGCCATAATCTGTAAAAATTGATTAATCATAGTCAAATATTTTCTTCTCATTTGACGATAAGAAAAAAATATTCGAAGGTAATTGATCAATTCTTACAGTTATGGCATACGGCATACGATTACGGCCAATATAAACGCTCCCTTAAGCCTATTCTACAATAGTCGTAAGCATAGTAAATGATTGTAAGAATTAACCAATCAAGTTAAATGTAAGAAGAATATGTGACTATAGGTAAGACCAACGCGATGTTGTAAACGCTTTGAAGCGTTTTTTAACTGGTCAGTTTGTAAAATTCTTTCTTCTAATTGGTCCATCATTTAACTTTAAAGCATTTGTAGCGAGACTTTGACTACAGCCTGGTTAATTCTTACAACAATTTCTTAGGGCTGCCGCAGACAAAATTTCTGTAACAGTAATTTTAAAGCCTCAGACACAATTCGAAGGAAGAACAATAGCGATAGAAATAACACGATTTCAAACTAAAAGAATTTTTATACTGCAGTGTATCTGATTTCTGATAGGTTAAAATCGTGTTTTCTATCGTCGTTATTTCTATCGCTATCGCTATTCCTTTGCATTATGCCTGGGGCTTAAGACGTGAACTTAAAACTCGATGAGCCAATCAGAATACTGCTTTAGATCCACGTATTCTAATGGAAATAAAATTAGCAGTAAACTTATCCAGCAAGGCAAGTTTTAATTCTAGCTAGTTGAAATTCACTTTGCGAGATTATGGATAAGTTTATTGTTATTAATGTAAACTGTCGTATTTTCAGTGTTGGCAGTAAATTTGGAACACGGCCAACATACGTAACAATAAGCAACTGATTTATTATTAAAAATATTGTTTCTAAATGGTACTCCTGAGTATATACTTATATACTACAATTTTATAAATTGATGAAGAAATGGTTTCATCGTGTTGTATATGTTCGAAGGAAAATGTTCCTTCGGAACCACATCGATCATTTCACAGGTAACTGCAAAAACTTTAATATTTGATTGTAATAACGAATAATCGTATTAATATGATAATCAAGCAATTAATTAAAAATCCGATTAATTACAAGAATTATAGTAACGATTGTTGATAACGATGAAATGTACTAATTGAAAATTTATTTTTTAAAAAAAGCTTTGCTGTAGGCATATTTAATTGTATAGATAATAAATCCCTAAACTTTTGATAAATAATTTTTCTTAATTTTATACGTTTTTTTGACAAAAGCTTTAAAATATATAACATATTTAAACATGTAACATCTATAGGATACCAGCGAACGAAGAAATGAGGAATAAATGGTTACAGATAATTGGCCGTAATCTCTCATACAAAGGAGCCAGAGTTTGTAGTGATCATTTTACGGAAAATGATTATCATGACATAAATCCTTATACAAAAATCAAAAGATTAAAGAATACTGCAGTTCCTTCTATGACCCTACAAAAAAAGTAAGACCAGATTTTTTTTAATTAAAAATAATATGTATTGAGAGTTCAAATAATTTATAATAATAAATCTATAAATTATTTTACATATTTCTATCTAGAAAAGATACAAAGGGGACATTATCATATCAAAACATTGATGCAAATTTATATAATAATTCTGGAATCATGTTTCAAGATGAAAATGATATTATTCTTCACAATTCAGAAAATGAAATTAGTGCAAGCAACTGTAATATTGATATCAAAGAAAGGTTAGTACGTACACATATATGACGATACATGAGATCTATTATCTTATAAAAGATTCTTGTGACAAAAATAAATTTCAGTGATTTTATTACAAAGTAGATACCTAATTCAATTGTCACATCTAAAATTTAATTGCATGTTAAGTTTTTCTTTGCTGAATTAGTATACACTTGTATTTGAATTAAAATAGATATATATTTGAGATTTAATAAAAACAATATAGAAAGTTTTAGATGTAGTTTTAGATGGCAAAATACAGATCTATTTTTTAATCATTTTTACTTTCAAATAACACTTTTATTTGCAGTGAAAATACAAATAATGCATTAGAGTTGACTCAAGACACAAGTGAAGATTTAATTATTTTTTTAAATTCCGAACAAGAAATGAATGCTACTTATATAAATAATCAAGAAAAAATTGATATTTATTTTGAAAATGGTATAAATGATTTGAATAGAAAGAGGTAAGATAAACACAAAGGAAAAAAATTAATCTTTTTATTTTATATCTTGCAAATGCTGTAAATAAAAACTTTTTTAGAGAATTTCCATCACCTAATTTAGGAAATTATAAAATAAATGAAAAAATTTTAAAATCTTCCAAACACACTACAGAATGCTTCACAAAAACAGATTTTTCATCAGAAGAAAAGTGGACAGCGTTTCTAAAATGTATTACTTACAATAAACGTGCAAATAGACTTATGCGACAAAGAAACAAATGTTTGCAAAAGAAGATTTTGGTATTTCAAGATATGTTGCAAGATTTGTTGAGAAAAGTTTAATGACTAGCAATTTTATGAATGTTTAAAGTGTGTTCATTATGACATTGTAAATTACTAAATTTTTTATTATTACATTAATATTATAAATGATTCATATTTAATGAAATTGCATATTAAATTAATAAAAATATTCCAGCAAATAAAAATGGATTGAAATGGATTAGAAATTTTCAACCTATCCGAATATTTTAAATGCTTAAAAATGGATTGAATTCCATATAAAAAATTTTTATACATGGAAAAGTTTTTAAATTAATTAAAGTAGTAATTACATGAACTTCTATAGTTATTATTTTAAATCTTTTATACAAAAAAATATACGCTAGCTGTATATGAAGGAAACGTATTAATATGAAATGTATCATATATATAAAAGCGATTAATTTATTAACTAAAAATAAATAATTTATGTAACATTTATGTAACATTTATTGTATATATTTATTCTTTTTGTGTTTCTTTTAACTATTAAATGAAATAGAATTCATGATATGTTTTTTTAGTATAACTTTTTTTTAACTCAGTTGAATATAACGAAAAATTTTTTATTCAAAATTCTGAATAAAGTAACATTTGACGCATTTTTAAATGGAACAATAGATTTTCTATTCAATTTTGAATTAAAATAGCATTCATATTTTAAAAAAAAAACTTTTTTGCATTAGATTAAAAAACTGCATTTCTTATTCAGAATGTTGAATTGAGCAGAATATTCACGTTGCACACATATAATATTATATTATTTTTAGATTGAAATGTATAGAAATATACTTCATGCCATTTCTATAAATGAATAAAAATGCATTCAGGATTGAAAAAGATTTATTATTTATTTAAGATTTAACATTCATGAATCCATATTTCTGAAAGTCTGTGAATACATTTTAATCCATTTCAATCCATTCTCGTTGCTGGAATATGAACTATGTCTTATACATTTATATAATTCAATCTATGTAATAAAATTAGTTTGGAGGGGATATGTAACTACCCAGCAAATGAGAATGGATTGAAATGAATTGAAATGGATTCAGATTTTCAGAAATATTGATTCACGAATGAATGAAAAAAATTAAAATGAATGCTTTTCAATTCTGATTTTCATTTGTAGGAATTACATGGAGCATATTTCTATGCTTTTCAATCTAAAAATATTAGCTTTTTCTGTGCAATGTGAATACTGTTTAATTCAAAATTTTGAATAAGAAATGTAATTTTTCAATCCAATTAAATCCAAAAAAAAGCTTATTCACTATTTAAAATACGCATTTGGATAGAAAAAAAATTTCAATCCATTTTAATCTATTCTCGTTTGCTGGGATTGTGTGTGCAATTGGACAATCTCTTTCTAAATCTGCCCTCTCTGTCTAGAACTATTTATAAGGTTCAAAGACTACAACTATAAAATGCGAAACATGAGACATATTTATAGTCCATTTTTATTTTAATACTGTTAAATATAATGTCTTAAGATGTTATTTTATCTTATGAAAAGTAAACAGTTAAAATTTTTTTGTTTTAGCGAACATCGACGATTTGACATAATTTGCCCTATCTGAAAAAATATTAATGCAGTCCCCGGATTGACTTATGACATCTTAAAGACTGTACTTAAGACAATCTTAAATGTAAGAATCGATTATGAAAATATGAATACCGACCTGTTTTGTGTCGTGAAGTTGGTACTAAATCTTTCCTTGCACATTTTTCTTCACATTCTGAGGGTCGATTGTATCTTAAAATGAGGTGAAAATTACAAAAGTGAACAAATTCACTAAAATATTCATAATTTAATTGGTCAATACCTAGTAATCATTGCTTACTTTTGTAATTTTTAACTTATTTCAAAATATACAATTGAGCCCCGGGTATAAGTCATGAAACTTTATCCCTAGGATGGAAAGTGAAAATTTTAACCATTTTTCACTTTTCACTTTTCATCCTAAGAAAAAAGTTTCATGATTGATACCTTGGGCTGCGTTCGATTTTCTACCCGGGTGTCATGTCATCCTTGTTTAACGTTCGGTAAACAACAAAGATGATATATACATTCGGGGAGCACACAGGTGGGAATCCGAACGCAGCCCTGGATAACGATCATGTAACTTTTTCGCTAAAGCGGAAATGTGAAAAATGAAAATTTTTATGTATGTTCGTACATATACGCACATATGTATATAAAGAATTTTTACTTTTCACTTTTTCGCACTAAGGAAAAAGTTACATAATCGCTACTTTCATCGACTAATGGCTTTTGCACACTAGTTTCCGCACGCGGAAACACTTGGCGCGCGGCAAAATGTGGTAGCCAATAAGCTCCTAATGTGTTCATTGGTTACCGCGTCTCATTTTGCTGCACGGCAAACATTTTCGCGTCTAGTATGCAGAAGTCGTTAGTCGGTGAGGGTAGCGATTATGTAACTTTTCTCTAGTGCGGAAACATGAAAAGTGAAAATTCTTTATATGTACATATGTGTGTATATGTACGAACATACATATATAAAAAATTTTCACTTTTCATGTTTCCGCTTTAACGAAAAAGTTACATAATCGCTACCTTCATCGACTAATGACTTCTGCACACTAGTTTCCGCACGCGGAAACACTTAGCGCGCGGCAAAATGTGGTAGCCAATAAGCTCCTAATGTATTCATTGGTTACTGCGTCTGCGCTGCAGAGGCTGCGTTTGGATTCCTGCAGGAGCAATAAAGGCCATGACACACACTTTCTGTAATAGTAACCATAACATAAGACGTAACATAAGTATCAGCCAATTAGAATTAAGAGTTCAAAAGATTTTTGACTGTGATTGGCTCATTCTTACTGCACGTCATAGGGTATATATCCACACAACTTGTATAGCTACATAAACGTATGCATAAAGAAAATTATCCAATCGCATTTTTTCTATATAGATGCATGTAAAATGTGATTAGATATTTTTTTTTATGCATACGTTTATACGCTATGCAAGTTTGTGTGGATATATCCTTATTTATTTATTTACGGTTATTAATACGGAAGGTATGTGCCATGGCCTTAAAAGATTGCAACAGATTTTTTTTTATGATTTTCGGAATGCAGCCTCGTCGAGCGATTGATTTGTACTTACGGATCTATAAATAAGAACCAATCGGTGAGCAAATTGCATTCCGAAAGCTATTTAAAAAAAAAGTGTTGCAAAAAAAGTATTGGTAAGTGTATATATTTTCCTTCAGAACATGTTTTTTCAGATGCAGGACAAATTATGTCATCGATGTTCGCTAAAACGAAAAAATTTTAACTTTTCACTGTTTACTTTTCATAAGATACATAATAAATGGTTGTTAAATATCGAATTATAACGGTATTATTAATATTAATTAATACTTAAAGAAGAATATTATTTTATTATACATTAGAATAAAATTTATGTTTTAAAATTTATAATAATAAAATTAAGTAAGGGTATATCCATGCAAACTCACATAGCTGCATAAACGTATGCATAAAGAAAATTATCCAATCACATTTTACGGAAGTCTTTATACAAGAAATGCGATTGAATAATTTTCTCTATGCGTATGTTTATGCGGCTGTGCAAGTTTGTGTGGATATGCCTTAATAGTTAAAGTTCATGTAATAGAAATACATGTTCCAAATAAAAATAAATTCATAAATTTAATGAAAATGTAAAATATGATACATACATGTGATAAGTAAAGTTAAAAAATAATATATTTTTTTATTTATATCCTTTTTATCAATTTCCTTTTAAATCAATATCAATATTTGTCTAATCGTAAATTGTCTAAGAATGTAAAACAAATTGTTTAATAACTTTTTTGTTAATTTTGTTTTATTTAATAAAATAATTTTCCATTTAGAGCCGTGGCACACAAAAAACTTAAGCAGTAAACGTAAGCAGTAAACAAATTGATAAATCACAATAGAGTTGTAAAGCCATAACGTAAGTATATAGCTAATCAAACATGTTGATTTCTTTATTGCTTACGTTTTACTATCTTAAGTTTTGTATGCCCTTCCCAGATAGCAAGTTTCTTGCATATTGCTATAAATTTGATACAAATTGCATCACCTGAGTTGTCATTTTTTTTAGGAAAGCGGCTTCCAATTTTGCTTACGATATTGGCGGCAATATATACCACAAATGGTTATGCACAATTGGAGAAAAACAATTTCCCTCTTCTTTTTGATAAGTTTTATAGGTTAGGTCGTACAATCGTACGACAACATCATGAAAATTAATTCTATATAAAAAAAAACAAATTTGCTAGCAATTTGACAGTAATATAAAAGAAACTATTGTAGTAAAAAGGATTAAACTCTAACAATGCTTTCCTACTTAAAATCGCGCGCGCGATTCAAAAGAGAACTTTAAGAAAATCCTTTAAGAAACATTTTTGCGGTATTTCATAAAGAACTCTGAAAGATATCTTAAAGTGACTTATGAGTTCATTGTAGACATTTTACTCATTTGATTGAGAGATATAAATTAATTATTATGAATAAAATTACAATACAGAACAAAATACATATTAAAGTATTAGATTTTATTTACTCGGTAAACATTTCAAAAAAAGTATTATGCCTTTCATCATCTTAGAGCCCCCTTGGGACTCACTTCAAAAAATTATTTTATTAGAATATAGCTGAAAAATCTTCTAATGCTATGTCTTCTATTCTATATCGTATTTTAAAAACGAGAAATTTAACTCAATGCATCTAGCAAACACGAATGGATTAAAATGGATTGAAATTTTTTTTATTCGAATGCATATTTTAAGTAGCGAATATTTTTTTTTAGATTTAACTAGATTCAATTGGATTCAATTAGATTCAATTGGATGCAATTGGATTGAAAAACTGCATTTCCTATTCAGAATTTTGAATTGAACATTATTCACAATTTTGCGCGCGCGCGCGCGCGCGCACGTGTGTGTGTGTGTGTGTGTGTGTGCACAGAAAAATTTAATATTATTTTTAGATTGAAAAGCATAGAGATATGCTCCATACAATTCCTATAAATGAATAAAAATGCATTCAGGATTGAAAAGCATTCATTTTAACATTCGTGAATCAATATTTCTGAAAATCTGAATCCATTTCAATTCATTTTAATCCATTCTCGTTTACTGAGCATCCTTTTGGAGGCAGCACTGCATACTGTTCTACGACGCTCCAATTCTATTCGAATCACAAAAATGTGGACTAAATATTTTACAAAAATGATTTTCAACAAATTATAGCAATATTTATGATATAATAAGTTTGTTACAGCATTTCTGCTCATTTACGCAAACAACTGTTGTCCGCATAATGGCTCTAGATTACCTAAACGAAATTATCATTGCCCTGATGACAGCAATGTAATGGCAATTGAAGAAAAACTTGTGCACTTATTTCTTTTCTCGCCAAGGATGTTTTATTATCTGAGTTAATTCAAATAATTTAGTTAATAATTTAATTTAAAGTCGAATTTTAGTATATTCTGATATCTAACAATAACACAAATTCTTATCAGCCGGCTTCAAAGTTCGTGTTTTTAAAATAATCAATAGTTTATCGATTGTTTTTGTGGAGTACAGAGAATAGGAGGCCAAACTTATATGAATGAGGCCGTCAAAGTGTGGTCAAAAGTGATTATCTGAATTAGTTCAATCGAGATGTCGCTTTTGTTCCATGACATTGTTCTTACAGATTTATAATTTGCATGGTAGGTCATACCAATTTGAAGAATGCTCCATTTTTTGCAGTTTTAATGACAATTTATGTTTTTCTGTTAGGGGCTATACAATAAAAGGAATAGGGAACAGAAAATAAGAACTTCAACCTATCAGAAACTGTGTATTCCACAATACATAATTTCTGATAGAAATTCTGATTGAAATTTTTATTCTCTGTTCGCTAGAGGTTTGTTCGCGTCGCATGCTCCAACATATTGTAATATGTTCCTACCATAGTTCTTACTCATTCCAACGTGCTTGATAGAATGAGTAGGAGTTGTGATAGGAGCATGTTGGAGTTTGCGACGCGAAGAATTATATTTGTTCGCGTCGCATGCTCCAACATGCTTCAATACGCTCCTGCCACAGTTTCTATTCATTCTAATGAGCGCATTAGAGTAAATAGGAGCTATGATAGGAGCACATTGCAGCATATTGGAGCATGCGACGCGAACAAATCTTTTTGTTCCCTGTTCCTTTTATTGTGCGGAGCCCCTTAATATCAGAGCATGATGTTAAAGAATAACGTCTCTATTTTAGGTTAGGTTGTGTGTTCGATTGTATATACATAAGCGTCTATGAGTTTGCGATTCGAACGCTGCCTACCGAGAACCATCAATATCAATTTGAAGAAATCTGATTTTGATACTTTTCAATGCCTAATTTGGTCTGCTGTTCTCTATACTCCATACTTGTGACTATTGAAAAACTGATTAGACGATATTTTCCCGAAAAATGGAGAAGATAATGTTGGTACCAATAAAAATCTTCAAACGACATAATTTTAATTTTTATGAACTGTTAGCACTGTTCAGTAATGTTCAAAATAGTCATATGTAATTTTTCTTCAGTCTTAAAATAAATTCTCTGTTTTAGAAACACAAATTATTTTCTATATAATTTTCGTTTTTACAGTAAAGAATTTGTTTTTAAAGCAGAGAATTTGTGTTTTTAAAGTAGATAAATATCATAATCAAAATAATTTCTCAACTGTAAAAACAAAAAATATGTAATGGTATTATACAAAAATTATGTAGTATTTGCGAGGAATAAGAATTATATAAAAAATAATTTGTGTTTTTGAAGCAGAAAATTTATTTTTTAAGCAGAGAATATCACATATGTCAAAAAGATTTCCCGAAAAATGGTCTAAACTGACAGATTTGTTATTTATAATTATTATCAATACATAGAAAATTTAATTGTAGTGTCTAGAGATTTTCGTTGGTACCAACATTATTTCCTCCACTTTTCGGGAAAAGTTGTCTAATTGAAAAAACGATCGACAGTTGATAGCTATCATAAATTGTTACCCCGGATCTACTATAGATTTTTAAGCCTTAAGCCGTAAGGAATGGACGAATCACAATCATTTATTTTCTTCGCATTCGACTGTATGATCAATTTTTTACAGCTTAAGGTACAATTTCATGATGTCACTTGTTGCAACGATAAATGGTCACGTGAGTGAATTTTCTCTCAATTATCCACTTTCTTTCTTGTCGCCAGCGATACTATTGAAAAATTGGATTAATCCAACTTTTAGCGACATCGCTCTTATGCAAAGATTTAAATATGGAACAGCAAGATATAAGTATAATAAGAATACATATTATTTTATTATCTGATAATGTTAAACACAAAGATAAAATAATATATGGGAGCATTCAGGTAATATTTTCGAACGTAGCCCAACTCTAATTTCTCATTTAATAATTCGCTTCGTAATAATTCGCTACTCATTTAATAATTTGCTTCGTGAAGCATATCATCATGTTTATCTGCCAAATTCTTTCATTTTGAATGTTGAATAAATATATTTTTATTAAGTTTCGTAGTGCCCATAATATAAATAATACAATAAATAAATAATACAAATTTCTTATCAATAAAAAATTTGTTGCGTGCGATTTTACCTCATTC